GCAAGGAGTTTGGGGGGAAAAGGAGGGGGTGCAACAAGGCAGTAGCAAATGAGGCTTTAGTTTGTTGGCTGCCAGAGCTGAGGGAGCTAATAAACAGACAGATGAGAGCTAAATTGTCTTCTGAACCTCTGTATCAGTATTCACATTACAGAGGCTGCTTCCAGCAATTCCAGCGTATTAATAATAAATGCTACATAATTACAGCAGACTTGCTTTTGTCCTCTCTTCCTGTTTACTGTCAATGCCTGCTTAACCCTGTGTAGCCCACAGCCTGCTCTCCACTGGCACCTCTGCAGGTGGGACAGCACCAGCACCACAGATGGGTGCTTTTCGCTCCACAGGGCTAAAAGGGAGGTGAAGGAAAGCTCAGGTATTGATGCCAGTCCACAGCCATCACCTTCTACCTGTCAAAGCCATGGTGATGTTGCTGCAGGGCATGAAAAAGGTGTACTTGGAGCCTCAGTAGCAGCCCCAGGCTGGGATGAGTTAGGGACTGTGCAAACTGTATCTCCAAAGCACAGAGGAGCACTGAGTCACCACAATCTTCTTAACAGCAAATAGGGTTTATGGCTTCTCCTGGTTTTAATCTCCAGACTTGCAGCTGGAGCTGCCTTCACTACAGAGGTGTTTGCAGGTGTCTCTGCCCCATTCCATCAGGAGCCTTCCTGCTGCACCCATGGTTATAGAGCTTCCCGGGATGCAGTAACATCACCAGTAACAGTGCTGGGAGCTGACACCGAGCTCTGGGACAGCCACAGGAGGATGCAACCATGGGAAGACACAGAGTATGACCCACAGGTCCCAGGCCTGGCACTCACATAAGGAAGAATGAAGTTTTTGTGTAATCAAGTTTCACACCAAAAATCCCTCAGATGCTGCCACTCTTCCCAAGTGTCCTTTTTCCTAGGCAAGCTGTACAAAAGCGTTGTGCCCTGTCTGATCATTTCAGGAGCTGTTTCAAATGAGAGTTAAAGACCTTCTGGCGCTTTTCCCCTGAATTTTAGGAGTGTTTCATCCAGCCTAGCTGCAAACTGAACTCTGGAGCCTCCTTTGCTTCCCACGGGACTGTCTCTGTGAGCATTTTTCCCTCCGTTGCAGGTAAAGAGCATCAAAAGTCTGGAGAAGGGTCCATGTTAACACTGCAATAGCTGCTTATAGCAGAGGACAGCTTTAATTTGCACCTTTCAGGATAGTTATCTTTTCCCAGCCTCGCAGGGAGGCTGCTGTGCCCCCTAACATGGCTTCAATAATAGAAGAGAATACCTCAGATGGGATTTCAGTGAGAAGAAACCGACATGCAAAACAAAGCATGCCTGCCTTCCAGTGCAAATTAACTCAGCTTCTGCCCTGAATGCAGACCTTTCCAGACACAAGACCCGCTCGATGGCAAATGAATGCCAAGCAACTCAGATGCAAATCTCTCCCTGCACGGAGAGGGCCTCAAACGCTAAGGGAACACTTGTCTTAAGCAGATGAGCATTGAGAAGTCTTGAAATAGAGGAAAAAACCTCAAACCCAGCTACAGCAACTCACATAGTAAAGACAAGGCTGGAGTGACCTACAACTGACTGTCCATCAGACACCAGTGTCCCAGCCAACCTGGGATGTGCACAGCATCACCCAGCACTGGCATCCTGCCACTATACTCCAGCAGTTCCCAAGGCTGCACATACCCACTTTTGCATTATCTGTTCCATCTCCTCTGTAACGTGAAACATTGAAGTGTTTTTCTCTCTGTACATGTCATAGTCACTTCTTTTTGAGCTCTCAGAAAATGAAGCAACAACCAGTTGTTCAGGAATAAACGATGAAGGAAAAGAAACACACCTCTTACAGCCTGTAATGAGTACAGGCACTGAGAGAAATGAGAGAGACAGACCATGCAAGGGATGGGAAGAACATAGAAGGCAGGAGTCCTCTCGAGTGCTCACATGGAGTGGGGAAAAGGAGGATCATCACCATTACATCAAGCTCTTTCCTCTTCTTCCTTGCAGGACAGTATCCAGAAGGGTACTTCGAGAGCAGCATAGCTCGTAGGTAGTCACAGGGGATGAGGAAGGTCAAATTCACCTCACTGAGTGACCTCTGTGGGCTGCCTCTCTCTTCACTCCCTGACACTCTCGGAAGGCAGTGCCCAATTTGTTCACTGCAAGGACCTTTGCTCCCTGTGCAAAAGGCACTCAGCAAGTCAGAGTTCCACCCCTCAGCAGCTGGTGTAACCAGGAAAGCCACAAGGCATACGGGCAGGGAAGGAAAACCCACCAAGAGCTTCAAGTACGATGACATATGTCAATCCCAGTAAGGAAGATCCCAAGTTGGACGGCAGCTCCAGGATACACTCAATCTGTGCTGCTGGAGGAGCTCCCACAAGCAAGAGGGGAGCAATGGCTCTGCCAGCCCTTTGCAGTGCCCACCGAACACATGGACAACCTCTATCACTGCTGGGCTGGCTCTCACAGGATTGCAAGGGTGAGAGGACAGTGGAGCTCCCAGAGTGCTCTGCTTGCCCTTCTCCCAAACCCTCCCACCATGGATGTCTGCACAGTGGTGTCACAGGGTAAAGCAAGACTTGCCCCAGGTTTATCAGCCAGCGCTCCTAGATGCAAAGATAGAAAAGCATTAGAATTCCAAGCCCCCAGACTCATCTCCAGGACAGTCATCACATCACAGCACATTCCCCTGCCAGGGCTGTTTCCTTGCTTTCCAACAACCTCCATCTCCAAACCCACCCCTGCAAATCTCAGGATGCTCCTCTGCACTTGATGGCAGCATGTTGCAGGCTGTGTGAGCCCCTGGTGTCAACCCCCTCTGCAAGCCATTTCAAGAAAAGAGAACAAGTTATTAATTACAAATTAAGCTGCCAATTGATATTAAGCTCTTTTAGCTCTAGGGGTAAAGAGAGGCAGAGCTGTACCCATGGCTCACTGACTGCAGATGCAATATATAAAGATCACTTTGCTTGCAGGGGATGAACAATTCCCCCATCACCACATCCCAGTAGAACTTAAAAGTTTGTACTGTAACAAACCCGATTTTGGTTGTCCTTATGTGGACTCCTTCATCTTGCAGAGGATGAAGAGATGAAGCAATGCAAGAATTAGCTCTTGCCAGTCAGTTAAGATAAGGCCAGCTGAGACCGTGGAGGTGAAGAAACACCTTCTGCCATAGGTTTCTCAGTTTTGCCTTTTGGAAAGCTCAGAAACACAGGGCAGAATTACCTCCTCTTTGAATAAGTAACAGGTAATGAATAATGAAATAAATATTAATAAATAATGAATAATAATTCCTCAATAAGGGTCAGTAGAGCTTGAAGCATTGCACATCTTTGCCTCAACTCTAAAGCACATGGGAAGCCCCTCTCTTGCACAGAGAACCACAGCACTTGGCTGTGCTGGACAGACCTGCATCCTGCAAGGGTTCGGCTGGAGCAGGACCCATTCCGCAGGGTTTGGCCATCAAGCAGCTGATGATGAGATCTCCATCCATCCGGTCTCACACCACCCTTCTCCTCCAGGAGCTCAATTAAGCCTAACAAATTACATACAGCACAAGTCACGAGCACACGCAGGAGGACTTGGCGACCATGGTGCTGTGCAAGCAGAAGGTGAATAAATAAAATTGACTCAAGTTGACAGAAGACTGTGCAGTGAAGCTTGTTGGAAGATGCCAATTCAGTGATAGAGATTCTGTAGCGAAGCATCTGTTTGAGTGACTTTGGCTCAAAAGGGGGCCAAAGGAAAGCATGACAAAAGCTTAATCTGCCTATAAATAGGAAAAACTCCAGGGAAGTTTCATGCTACTTCAGTATTTAATTAAAAAAATGAAAGAAAAAAGAAAAACACTTTAACCAAGAAGAAAGAAAATATCGTGAGTTACCAGAATGAATTCAGGATCAGAGCTGTAGAACAACATAGGTTGGCCCAGATCTCAAATTAATGCTGTGCAGGTGGAGCAGAACCATGCAGCTCAGGTCACACATGGCCTGCTACAGGTCAGAGCTGAGCATCTTAAAGGCTGGACCTTTCCTATCTCTTATTCCTGTTGCAGTGTTTGACCACACTCATGGGGTCGAGGCACTTCTCAGTGACTGACAGGCAATCAGATGTTCCAGATTGGGCTGCCCTGGTGCTTGGTGCTTCCAAAATAAGTCCACCTCCCCACCCATTGAGGGGCTCAAAACAGCTTTACAACCCTCTCCTAACGCCCTGCTTCACCTTCCCTTCCCCAGGCTGCACAGACCTGCTGCTCTCAGCATCCCTACACCATTCTTCTCCTCCACAAAACCTCCAAGTCTCCCTGTTGACAACCTCAAATGAGTTTCGACATCACATTCCCAAGGGAGATGCTGGTGGGGAAATCTTGCAAACTAGAACAGACTGCGCAGATTCCTAGAGGGCAAGAAACCCTTCCCAAATCTAGTTGTAACCATAACTGACTGTCACAGTTTTTCCTTCAAAAAGCAAAGAGCCCTGCTCCATGGCAATGCAAACAGTTGCTGTTTCAACACAGTAGTCCGTGTCCTCCCCCTCCCAGTTCCCTCAATTCGAAGTCAATTATGACAAGGTTAATGGGGCAGAGAGGATGCCAGTCGGTTGGGTAATGATGTCGAAGCACCTGGCATTGCCTGGGCAACAGCTAGGCAGCAGGGATGCAAATGAAGGCGCAGGATTGCATTTGGTCCCTCGAAACAAGCTGATGCAGTTGAGCATATCAGCACTAATGAACATGGAAATAATAAGAGAACACGCAGAGAAAGAAGAGACTGGTGGGGAGGTGGGGGCTGCACCCAGCAGGCATCACGGCATGGTTTGGGTTAGAAGGGACCTTAGAGCTCATCCAGTTCCAGCCCCCCCACCATGGGCAGTGTCATCGTGAAGATATGGCTACAGGCACCATTTGCTTGGTGTCAATGGAAGCAGGCTGCACCCTGAGCTGCTTCCCAGTTTAACACCCCAGCTTTACACACCCAAGACCAGCCATGTTGTTGTTCTAATGCTCCTGGCCCCCCTCCAGGCAAGCTGTGACAGAGAGAGCAAGAGGGGACCTGCGTGCATCAAGAGGCCAGGTTTTACAGTGACCTGATAAACGTGGGGCTGAGGCAGCAAAGATCAAGCGGCAAGAGGTGCTTGAGGGCATTTCAGTGCAAGGAGCAGTGACACACTCAGCAGGAAGGCTGCTCCAGTCAAACCCAGCTTCCCCAGTGCTCGCAGTCCCCACATCATCTGCAATTCATACTTTGAAGCTCGCAGGCAGAGCTGCTGCGTGGAATGTTGTCTGCCAAGCACTTGGCACAATGTGCCTCCATGGACCAGGACTACAGGGCAGCAGGTAAGAAAGAGAGCTGCAAGCCTCAGACACTAGCAAGACGTTTTGATTTACCATCTAACTGCTGTGTCTTCTCCCTTGTCCATGAGCTCTATCAGACCCCCTCAGCACATTTCCTACCAGGAAAACCCTCAATCCTGTAATATTCAATGCTTTTCTACCCTTTAAACCCACTCTATGACACCACTCTCTTTCTCGACCCCACTCAAACCTCAGCTCAGCTTTGGTCCCAAAGCAGAGGCCATCCATCCCTCCACTGGGATAGTGACATAAGTGGGCTTTCTGCTCACCCTCCTCAGCTGCACAGCCCACCCCCAAAACACACTTCAGGGCAGCAACAGCTCCCCCAGCAGCCGCAGTGAGGTCCCACAGGGATTCTCCTGCCCCAAGAAAAGCTACATTAGCTGGGCAGGGGGAATCTGACAGCATTTTTCACACCAGTGACTAGCAGAGCTTGCAGAGTTGAGATGCAGCTGTGCAAATGAGACCCCAGCAGCCACCCCCTAGCCCCAGTGATTCACCACAGGCGTGAAGAGCGGTATCAGGGACACAAAGCAGCCGACGCCACAGGGGAGCAGTTGGGTCATGCATCCATTTACAAGGTCATCGCCCTGTGCCTCTCTAAAGTCCTTCACTTTCGCCCCTGGCAAGTCAAGGTGACTTGGACAGACCATGCTGCTGTTGCTGCTCCTGCTCCCACAGATGCCTTCAGCTATACCCTGCCCTTGGGCTGTGAGCCCCTTGGAGCCAAAAGCATCCTTCCCTGCTCTCTGGAAATGGCCCAGCAGAGTAACAGCCTGTGCCATAAATAACACTGGCAGTGGGCAAGTGTGGAGCAGCCGTGGGCTCTGCAGGGACTGGAGCATCCCTGGCCAACACATTCCCATGTTGTGAGATGCGGGGGTTGCCCCAAGCAAATGCCTTCCCTGCCCACCACAGCGGGACCCTGCATGCCTGAGCTCACAGCAGTGCCATCCCCAACCCCAGGTCTCTCCTTGAGTCCCAGCATGCTGCTTTTTAAATGTCAGCAGTAAAACCAGCTGCACAGAGGGAATAAAACGGAGGAGGAGGGAGAGGGGGGAGAAAAGAGAAAGACGAAAGGGAGAAGAGACAGCTCTGCTAATAGCGAGTCAGCCAGAAGTCTCCGAATCCATTTGAAATGCGTAGGGCTTAATTTAACTTAATGGTTTTGTCAAACATTGGCACTCTGTTAAAAGCACAGGAGAGCTGGTAATCCAAATGCCGGTGGCTCTGCTTTAGCTAGTCGCAAGGAGGCTGCTGTTCAAGTTCCCAGATAGATCCATCTGGCTTCACGCAGGCAGCGAGCACGGCCCTGTCTACTGCAGTCACTCATTAGGGCAGCTCTGTATTTACTTAGCATTGGCAGCAGCCCGGGCTTTGCCCAGAACACGAAAACAAACACAGCCACTGCATTTCTGAGCTTGTACATGTCTTAAGGCAGCTCCAGGCTTCTCCTGAAAACACAGCTCAGTCAACGGAAGAGAGATTTGCAACTTTCCCTTGGGAAGACACAATGAAATCTCTCACCTACGTGGACTTTGAAAAGAAGTTGGAAAAATAAAAGAGGAAAAAACAAACTCTTTGCTCACAGTCAGGCAGAGAAAGCCATGAGCTGAGCTGCAGAAGCTGGTTCCCCACCCAGCCCTGCTCTCCCTCCTCTCTGCAGCAGTGCTAGGTCAAGGGCCCCCATCAGCCCACATGAGGTGGAATAGGGAAACCAGGCAGCACTAGCTCTGCTGTGGTCAAACCCTCTTCTAGAGAGAAAAATGGAAATACTTAAGATGATCTTGTTGTTTAAGATGATTTTCTGTCTGCAGACAGGAGACTGAGCCCATCTTTAGACACAGTATGGATACGACAGAAGGTGTTTAAGTCCCTTCACTTGCCCGATGCCCTATTCTGGCAGCTTCACATGCTTCTTGTGGTTTTGCCCCCACTCTGAGGGCACCAGTGGGTGACCTGCAGCACAAGGCACTGTGGTTCAAGCCACCAAGATACAGGCACACTGAGGACAGAGACCAAAGCACTCTCCCCTCTTTAGCAACAACAGTCTAAAAAGGTCAAGTTTGCTGATATCGTCTTGGGAGGAGGCAAAGACTTCTTTTAACCTTATAATTGTGTGCAGAACGTCAGCCACAGACCTGTCCCCTGCACCCACACCCTCCCACGCACCACAGACTGGTGTGACTGGAGGCATCGAGAGCACAGCTCTGCCCAGCCCCATGTGCTCTCAACAGCAGATCCCAGAAACCTTCCCTTCCCCAAGGCACAGCCTTCATTCTGCAGCACATCCCTTAACCTTGGGCTCAAAGCAGAGCACCCTCCCTGCCATGAACCCCAGGCTGCAGGCTCTGGTCAAAGGGCCAGCATTAAAGGAAGCATTGCTGCCAACCCCAGCATCTTGGGATAGACCCGGAGCAAAGGGCTACAGAGGGAAGAAAGCCCTAAACTCCACGGCCATGGGCACATGTCCTGCTCCACACAGTGCACATGGGGAAGGGGGTCCAGGAAAACTCAGGGAGGGGGGCAGTGGAGGCTTTTGAGCCTCTGCATCCCTTTAAACCTCCCCCTCCATCCCAGGACCTGGATTCTTGTTTGATTTAAGACGCAAATGGGATCGAGTTTAAAGGTCTCAGCCTGGCCCTTGACTCCTTGGTGGGAGTCTTTCCACATCACAAAACCACCAGACAATTCAGCCTGATTGACAGCCTTTCAGGCAGAGAGGCCCGGGGCTGGAGGGAGGAGAGGGGCCTGTGGGTCAGGGCTAAGTGGGGGGGCATCTAGAGCCGTGCATGGGGCTGGGAGAGCAGGGGATGGCTGCGAGGTGGGGACAATGCTCAAGGTTTATGCTTCCATAGGAAAAAGGTTTCTGGGGACGAACGAGAAAGACTAAGATCATCCTCGATGGATGCACTTCCACTTATTAGTGGCAGAAGCCAAACGACAGATAGAACATACAAGGGAAAATAGACGGTGTAATTCACTTTTCCCCAAGGCAAATGGATAGCTGTGTACACCAGAGAAAGCAGGGAACTGAGAACAAGGCTGGAGGGGGACCTGAGGTTCAAAGAGAGGCAAAAGCCAGAAGAAATCAAGGATGGGAAAGCAAGTGAGCAAAGCTAGCATTTAGTGACTCTGGGCTCTGTCATTTGGGCTGCAGCAAAGGCTGAATGGCATCATGGAAGGACACACATGGGCTTATGCACCCTGTGCCACGTTCTGCAGCATGCCCCATCCCTGCTCTTCAGTCGCAGCAAAACCCAGCCCAGTGAAGCCCATCACCAAGTTTCCCCTGCTGTAACAGTCACAATACCCAGAACAGACAGCAGGAAGATGAAGTGTTTCCTCATCTCCTCACAGCCCGACCTAGAAGAGCTGAGCACAACCCATGGCTCACTCCAACAGGGAGTGAACCTGGGCCAACACCCTCTGCGAGTCCTGCAGAGTCCAGTCTTCAGATATAGGTGGCCAGCCCCATTCCATTCCCCACCTACATTGCTGATTCTGGGAGAAGGTTCCTTCACAGGTTCTATCACCTTCTCAACTTTTCTCTGCAGTCCGGGTCAAACCCATGTTTGCCAACCTCTCTGTCTCAAGAGGACACAATGCACCTCTGTGGTAAACTGAGAGTCATCACTTAAGGAGACCAGGCCAGGGACTGTAAGAAGACCACAGATCCTTGTCACGGTATCTTATTTATCCCCTCCTCTGCACACAGGAAACCCTTTCTCCTATCTTTTTTTTTTTTTTAATCCTACTTTAAATAAAAGACAAACATTTTAAGATGGTGCTTTAAAGCACAGCAACCGCCAGCCCATCTCCGTGGCTTGCCAAGAGAGCAATTCATCCTCTGGCTCTATTCTGCAGTAGGTATAGCCGACCCCCCCCTCACTTTTGTTCATCTCCCCGCTCTTTTGTCTGGCCCTGAAAGCGTTGATCACTCCTGCATGAGGAATGTGAAACTGATGTGATGTGATAGGAACAATGCTCCTCGCAGCCACATCAAAGTCTCCATTTGCATGGCTTCCCCTTGCCTGCCTGTCCCCCTCTGCCCCCGGCCGTGCTCTGGCTGCTTCAGCGCCTTCATTGTCCTCCCAGCTTGGAGGAGCAGCCTTGGCCTCCTACTAAAAGGCGCTCAATAGCCTCCACATGCCTGTGGCTGCCTCCTCTCACCCATGGGAGATGGCACCCATGGGCAGCATCTGGGTGGCAGATGTAGCATCCACACATGGCACCAATACAGGTCTCTGTTAAGTCTGCTGCTATCTGGTACCTGCTCCCAGATGGAAGCTTCTCTCCACTGCATTGCCAGGCTGGGAGATCTAGGGAAAGGGATGGAGAGGTGAGGAGGGTATGTAGTGACAGGACAAGGGGGAACAGCTTTAAGATGAAGAAGGGGAGTTTTAGATTAGACATTAGGAATCTTCCCTGTAAGAGTGATGAGTACCTGGCACAAGCTGCCCAGAGAAGCTGTGGCTGCCCCATCCCTGGCAGTGCTCAAGGCCAGGTTGGACACAGGGGCTTGGAGCAAGCTGCTCTAGTGGAAGGGGTCCCTGCCCGTGGTAGGGGTTGGAACTGGATGAGCTTTAAGGTCCCTTCAAAGACACACAATTGACAATACCTGGGAGCTGGACACCACCATCCTTGTAGCACCACCAGCCTACGCAACACCCTCCAGCACTGGCAGCAGCACAGAGCTCACTGGATGCTACAAAACCCACCAGAGCAGCCGGACAAACACAGGTCTGGATTCAGGCAGCCTCCTGCTAGGCTGCTGAGCTCAGGCATGCTGCCAACCAGGTAAAAACCCTGTAATGAGCAGCCACAACCCAGTGCTAAGAGATGCCCTCTTAGAACACGCTTCACAAGGGGTTCAGGTTCTTCAGAGCTCATCAGCTCAAAGGGTTTAACAAAGGGCTAGCAAAGGAGGCTGCAGAGAGAAAACAAACCCTCCAGTGAGCTAGAGAGCCTCTCTCCATTCCACAGCAGCTGTGGCTCCATAGCAAGCCTGCACTGATGTGACAGCAGCAGGAGAGTGATACCTCTCCTGCTTCCCAAAGCACTGTCTGCCTCCACATTCCATAAGAGCCCTGCCTTCCCCCCCCAGGTAAGCAAGCTCCATTTCCCTTCAGGAGGCAGCCAGATGCCAGACAGGGGGATGCAGGCAGCACCCTGGCAGGGAAGGAGAAAGCCAGGCACTGATCAGGTCTCCCTGTGGGAAAGGGGGAGGTTGGCAGAAGACAAGACCAGAAGGGAGCAGTGGTAGGACCACACAGAAGCACACAGCACCAAGCTGTGATGGGAGCAGGAGGGACTCTGATGGCCCTGCAAGACTGAAGTGCTGCTGATATACCTCATATGCGGAAGGATCTAGTTTTTGGTGAGGAGGCAATACACTTAGATTACCCTCAACACTGAGACCAGTATAAGGCTGATTCCCACCCCACCCTCATCCTAAAGTATGGGACTTCCATTTATCCCTAACACCAGTCATGATGCTGAGACAATCTGTGTCACTAACCAACACAGAAATAGCCAACATCTGTCTGCAGAAGAAAAAGAGGCTTCTAGGTCCAGCCATTTCCAACACAGCAAGCAAGATGCAGCTAATGGAGTCTTTGAGCCCAAGCACATCTCCAGTTTCCACCTCATCCAGAACATCAGTGATCCAGAGGGAGTCCAGGTGTTTTGACTTCAAATGCACAGAAAATGCAAACCAACTGTCCGAGAGCCATTTCTGGATTATCAGCCCACAGATCAAAAGGCACCATAGGTTACACTGTAGGACATACTGCTCTGATGCTAAACAGACACTTCTTCAGCACATGCCAGGCCACCTGTACCCAAGAAGCTTCCCAAATATTGAGAGCCCTTGCCTCTTTCCTTTAGTTTTTACCTGGCTACTGCAGCCCCTATTCAAGCCCCTCTGCTCTTCATCTCTACCAGGAGCTCAGCAGCCTGCCAAGGGATGCAGCACTGGCAACTGCTCCTGATTTATACTGATGGAGAATAACTTCCCTTTACAAAAGTAAATAAAGCCACTGTGAAGAGGCAGAGCACAGTATTTTTTATTAACGAGCATGCTTCTCCTTCATTGCTTAACAGAGGAGGCAAGACAGTCAATGTGCAAGAACTAAGCCCACCTTCCTAACATCTCAGGTCAGATTTGCTATGCAAAAGCCCTGCATTGTGCATTAGACCTGGCCAATGTCACTCCTGGTTAGGGAAGAAGATGCTCTGCTAGAGGAATATGGTGGGGTGTCATTAAGGAGGATGTTTCAATCTGGCATTCGGTCTCTTCCTTGCCAAGCTGGTTTGCTTTAGAATAACACCAGAAAGGCTGTTTTGCTGCAGCTCTGCTCACACACTAACCAGAGCCCTCAGCAGCTTTGAGGCTGCTTTATCATGCTGGGGTTAACACAGCATGCCCAGCTGCACTGCCCACTACCCTGCTGTAGCCTGCCTGGTCACCCACAGGGGATGAAGCCCAGAACCCGCTCTGTGTCCCCAGGAGGTGCCCACCAAAGCTGCTCTGTCAATCCCCTCCTCAGCTGGACGGGGGAGAGAAATGGAAAGCTCATGGGTTGAGGTAAGGACAGGGAGAGAACATTCACCAATTACTGTCATGGGCAAAACAGGCTCAGCTCAGGGAAATTAATTGAATTTATTGCCAATCAAATAAGAGCAGGGTAATGAGAAATAAAATCAAGTCTTAAAAAAACACCTTCCCCACCATTCCTTTCTTCCTGGGCTCAGCTTCACTCCTGATTTCTCTACCTCCATCCCCGCCAAGTAGAGCAGGAAGATGGAGAATGGGGACTGTGGTGAGTTCATCACACATTGTCTCTGCTGCTCCCTCCTGCTCACAGTCTTCCCTTGTTCCAGAGCATAATCCCCCCCATGGGTGCATCCCTTCAGGAACAGGCTGCTCCAGCATGGGTCCCTGCAGCGTCACAAGTCCTGCAGCAAACCTGCTCCAGCACAGGCTTCCCATGGGGTCACAGCCTCCTTTGGACATCCCCTGCTTAAGTGTGGGTTTCTCCGTGGGCTGCAGGTGAGTATTTGCCACACCATGGACCTACATGGCAGGGACACAGCCTGCCTCACCATGGGATGCCCCATAGGGCTGCAGGGAAATCTCTGCTCCAGCACTTGGAGCATCTCCTGCCCTTGTTCTGCACTGACCTTGATGTCTGCAGAGCTGTTTCTCTTGCATCCTCACTCCTTTCTGCTGCTGCTACCACATGGGTCCATTCCCCCCACAACCTTTTTAACTACATTATCCTAGAGGTTCTACCACCGTTGCTGGTGGGCTCGGCCTTGGGCAGCAGTGGGTTTACCTTGGAGCCAACTGGCACTGACTGCATAGGACACAAGGGAAGCTCCTAGCAGCTTCTCACAGAAGCCACCCTTATAGCCCCTGTGCTACCAAGATCTTGCCACACAAACCCAATACATCTCTCCAGCCCAGAATGGAAGATGACATCAGTGCTTTCTGGTAGCTGTAATGGTGCAACAGGTAGCTTGGCTTAGGGAGATGAAAGCCTGCAATACACCAGGACAAGAGCCTTGCTCTCATGTTGCTGTCAGCGAGATGTTGCAAAAGAGGTCACAGATAAGATGCTGTTCATCTCTCCAGTACTCCACCTTCCTAGCCCTTCACTCAGCTGTCAGCAGGGCAGGATAGGTCCCACTTCATTGGAAGGGTCCCTGCTGATCCTCCATCAAGAACAGGGAGAAAATGCTTTGTGCCAGTAAAGATGAAACACTGCGATCCCCACACAGTGCTCACTGGGGAGTTAAATCCACCCCTGAAAGGTAGTGAAACCCTGGCGAGCCCTCTTCAGCAGGGCTGGGTACCACTCCTCCTTTGGGGATCAAGGACCAGGATCAGGACCCATCCCTTTCCCTAGCTCTTGGCCACTTCCAGCAGCTGTGCACATGGAATGCTGTGTCCAGAGGAAGCCCCCTCAGCTTGCCTTATACCAGCATGTAATGGTAAACTTGATCTTAAACGTCATTTTCAACCTAGCTGGTTCTATGGTTCAATAGCAGCTTGCTGGGGCCCAACAGTACCATTCAAGCAGACACCATACTGGTGCCCGTAACCATTCCAGTGCACATCCAGAGCTAAAAGGCAGCAAGGGAGTTAAACAAAGCTATGCTGCCCACTGCTTTCAGTTGACATTGGAGGCATACCACAGGTGAAAAAGACCTTGAATACAGATACACAGATGTTGTTCCATGGCTTGCTAATTCCCTGTCCCTAATTCATTCCTGGTTTCTGCAAGATACAGTCAATTCCTGACCAGCCACCACACCTGCATGTTTCTTTGCTTTCGATTCGGCCAGCAAAATCCATTTACCCTGCCTGTCTCATCCGGTTTCCATCAAGCCTGCTGAATTCTCCCTCAGTGAAATAAGCAAGTTTACTGTAACACCCTCTTTTGTAAGAGCACAGCTAAAATGACAGTCTTTCTGGTGCCTGACTGTTTCCCTTCACAGGAGCTAAACATTGCTTGTTTTCAGTTGTGAACTGTTCTGATTTCTTGAAGTGTATGGAAGCACCAAAGGGGTCAATTTCACCGGGAAAGAGGGTTTCTAAAGAGAACATTTATTTACCTTGCAGTTTGCTATGAAGAAATTTAGGCCGGCTGAGAAAGTTGGGGCTGTTCAGCCTGGAGAAGAAAAGGCTGCGTGGAGACCTCATAGCAGCCTTCCAGTATCTGAAGGGGGCCTATAGAGATGCTGGGGAGGGACTCTTCATTAGGGACTGTAGTGGTAGGACAAGGGGTAATGGGTTCAAACTTAAACAGGGGAAGTTTAGATTGGATATAAGGAGGAAATTCTTTCCTGTTACGGTAGTGAGACACTGGAATGGGTTGTCCAAGGAGGTTGTGCATGCTCCATCCCTGGTGGTGTTCAAGGCTAGGTTGGACGAGGCCTTGGGTGATATGGTTTAGGGCGAGGTGTCCCTGCCCATGGCAGGGGGGTTGGAACTTGATGATCTTAAGGTCCTTTCTAACCCTAACTATTCTATGATTCTATGATTCTAATTTACTAGCAAGGACATGGGGATCTCTGGGTGAATGTGAAGAGATTCAACGCAACACTTGCCTTATCCAACATTGGCCATGAGAAGACAGAGACCAAACTTTTGGTTGAAGGCTCCTGGTTGCAAACCCTGCCTGACGTGGTGGATCTGGGGAAGCAGAATAAAAGCCCCCCAGCTTGCACAGTCCAGGGGCCAGAGCCACATGCCACCTTCAGGCCTTGCAGAACATGGTCCCAGCTCTCTGCAGTGTGTGGTTTCTACTTAAGTGCACCTTCTAAGGGTTTGCCAGACTAAGACATGGGGAATAGAAAACCCAGACCTGTTTCTGACACAGGAATTCCTTCTTGATTGCTTTTCTGGTGGCACACACCCATGACAATGGGGCTACAAGACACCGCCGCTATTGGCCCTGTGGTAAATGCTTCCCAATAATTAGGGTATGAGTCAAAACAATTCAAAAACAGCTGTAGAACCAGGCCAAGCTGCTATCTGCAAGCACTGGAAAGACACTGTTAACTCCTGCTCAGAAGTAGCCACCAGCAGCCTCAGATCAAAGGGGGTAAATACCCTAGGGATGCACTCCAATGGAGGAAACCAGGAGAGAGTTCTTCTCCCATCCCCACTCCTGCCAGAACAGGGCAACTGCACATCTGGAGCCAGGCAGCTGATGGGAACCCAGCATGGGGTACACCAAGCTCTGCACAAGGAAATCTGGCCCCCTGCACTCCATTTGCAAACCCCTCGAAGCCTGATGCTTTCAGCACAGGAAATATCCAAAGTCCTTACACTTCAGGGCTTCACTCTCCCCCCTGCAGTAGCCTGCAGTTTTCATTTCTCATCCTTTTAGGTTATAGTTTCCTTACGCTCTTTTCACATCCTTGCTATATTTTTGGCAGCTCCTCAAGTTTCATTCTCTTTTCCAAGTTACATGAGATGAATATAAGACTTCTGCTACTCCTCCCTGCTCATCAGCAGACGTAAATTGAAAGCAGAATTAAAGAGATTATTTGCATCATCACTTGAAACGGCTTCAAGCCTCTTCCTGCCTTGTCATGTACTGTGAATTCTGACCCACCAAGGCTCTTTAGGTCTGGACATTGCCAAGTGTTTATCTACATCCTGTTAGGAGAGCCTGGGGGAAGAGCTCTCATCCTTATCAAAAATAAGATAATCTTAAGGCTTTGTGGAAAGCTTTTGGTTCCCGTATCAAGTTTATTGTAGTTTCCTCCCAAACAGTAGATATGACTGACTTGCAGAAAAAAAAAGTAAAACAACGGATTTATTTCTTTTCCCCCTTTCTCAGAATTTGGGTAGGATGTTATGGGACCAGCACAGGAAACTGAGGTACTGCCTGCAGGGCCCTTGTGAGCTACAGCCTCCCACAGAGACCAGGGCTACAGTAAGCCAAGGAAAATCACTGCACACCAGCCTGCTGCCAGGACAAACAGCATTTTGTTGATTCCTGTATTTCCAGAAGCCAAACAACTGAGGACCTGCAGCTTTTTTTATTGCTATGCTTCGCTGCACCTATCCCCTCTGCAATCCTGTGTGTCAGGGAAGAGGCTGAGATGCCAGTTGCTCTGTATTCAGGACCTGATGTGCTGACATTAGTACCCAGAAGCTCAGGGAGGTTGTCAGAGTGCAGTGCTATTTCTGAAGCCTTGTATGATGCTCAAAGTTACAGTCCCTACTGCTAAAGCTCAGTTGGCACAAGCTATTGGGCACAGAGATTGCAGGGCTCTGCCTGTCCCACAGCACCATTCACATCCTAAAGAGCTGCAGATGGATCCAGGCAAGACATGAAGCTGACCTCAAGTGTCCCAGGGAGGAAGGGCTTGGGGCAGAGCACCCAATGCCCTGTGGGAAAAGAGCAGCAAGAAGGACTGAGCATGTGTCACAAGATACTCTACCCCAGCTGGTCACCGGAAAGGAGCTGGGAGCGATGAGGACAGAACACAAAGCCAGCATCTCAACAACTGTCAG